CTTGCGATCAGAGTCACGGAACGGATTAAGTTCGTAAGTAGAGGTACCACTGTATTATCAGTGCTGGCTCTTCTTCTCTATAACAACTCTGATGCATGCACAGCCATTTCCAAATTAGGAGAAGTAGTACATGTTCTGAACCAGTGTCTGGATATGGAGATGGGTAGATAAAGACCAATAAACCAAGACTGAAGCTTGACAAGACAGACACTTCTCAGACAGTGATTCCTGGGTACAGGAACTGGGTTCTGGAATTGGGTACAAAGTGTTGCATTCCATTGGAAACAATAGATTTTTTGCTCCTCCTAGATACATCATTGTCATGGGAGGCTCAAGCAACCACAGTGGTCAACTTTGCCCTTTGCTGAACTGCAGTCTAGTTACTGTTGTTAATGTTCTGAGAACTTCATAGTTAGATTACTGAAATACACTCTATGTGGGACTCCTCTTGTGCTTGATCTGAAACCTGCAGATAGAGCAGAATGTGGTGGGTTGCTGAGAAGAGTGATTGGTCATGCAGATGTTCCTTTGTGGAAGAACCTCTCCAGCTGCCAATTAGCCAATGTGGAGTCCTTGGTGTTCTCTGAGCTTGGTTGTTTGCTTGCAGACATCTAGTTGGGTAATGAAATGTCTGCAAGCAAACAACCAAGCTCAGAGAGCATCAAGGACTTCACAGCTACAAATGTTCTCTTCTGTTGGAATTAGCTAATGGTTTTACATATAAGACCCTGAACAATTTTGGATCAGGAAACTTTATTGTGACAAATTGGTTAAGTTGCTAAGGTCATCAGGGAAAGTCTTGCTGCGTGTGCCAAGATCGGCAGAGTATCCCTTGTGGTGATTCCTAGGCAGGCCATCTCCATGATGGCACCTGCAGTCTGGAAGGTTCTTCCCACTGAACTGGGCAAGGCATCACCATGACATCTTTGATGCTCCTTTGTCTTTATCAGGCCTTACCTGGAGCAATGATAGGTGATAGTTCAGTTCTGCTTTTTGTTTTCCTTTCCTCTTTTTTTTAATGACTGAGTAAAAAACCCACAAGAACATCGCTAAGAAGATGAGTGTAGCATGGGATCACACATCCTGAGTCAGCACACCTGAGTCCTGCTTCAAAACTCCTTTTTCAAAACAAAAATGTAGTTTCTGAAAAAACTGACCAGTAAAAAATGCAGAGACAAATAAAACAAACCGATTGAAGCTATTATAGAAGAGCATAGAATTTTCTGTCAGAATAACTTAAGTAATGTTAAATGAGGGTTTTCTTTAGACCACACTTTTTGGTTAGAAATAGTAGGGGTATGCTGTTGTGTTCAAAGATGATTGGCTATATCCAGGGGTAGCATTATCCTAGTGCAAAGTGCATGTGTTTGTGCAAAGAACATTGATAGAACCAACCCAATCTGCCTAGATAAGTGCAGTTATGGGTCTGTTTACCATAATTTTGTCCACTTTGACTGACAGATACCCCACCCTTATGCAGAGTGAAGCAACTTCCTCAGGGGACAGTTCTGGGTTATCTTGAAGGGGCTGCAAATTATATCCACAGAGTGTCATTAAAAAAAAGTCAAGATGGCGGCCACAATGGTGCAGTCGAAGCTCTGCCTTTGTGACACAGGTAGAAAGCAGGTGCAGTTTCAATCAACCGGCATGGATGCCAACTTGGCTTTTGTTTACGACACCTTGTGGACCCCCCTGCTGCATATTGTTGTTTAATTTGTTGTTCTTGTATTTTTACTGCCAACAACAGTAAATAGGTGCTGAGAGATTTTCTGCTTTCTGAATGTGGATAATTTGACTGAGATATGGCTATTTTTGATGTGAGGGAAACGGATTCATTCGCTGCTCTGTTTTAAAGAACAAAGTATCTTTCAGTGGCCAGAAAGGGGGTTCTCCATTTTCTCAGCTCTGCTCACTCAACTCCTTTACTGGAAATTTTAGGGATTTCATGGGACTTCTGCTTTCAAAGTGTGTGCTGTGCAAGCAAGTTTAATTAGAAGTGGGAAGGTGCTCCATCCTTCATTGGATCATGAGAGAGTGCTGTAGCCAGCAACTGACTTTATAACTCAGAGCTTTGAACAAAATCTACAGAAAAATACATTCATATAAATGTTGTTGTTGTTGTTGTTGTTTAGTCGTTAAGTCGTGTCCGACTCTTCGTGACCCCAT